TGTGTAATACAGAAAATCCCTCTCCCTCCTCTCCCAGAATGATTACACCTACTGTAATAAATAAAAAGGCAGCTCATCTAATAGAGAAAATGGAATTTTCTTTTCCAGTTAGCATTTTTCAGTTTGGAATTACGCAATTGCTAAACCATATTTCCCACATGAGTTTAACTTCATAGCTTTTCTTTTCCTACCCTTGCTTCTAATTTCTGTTAATTTTTCCATACTTGCTGCAGTTATTTCAAAACTCAGGAACAAAGTCTATGAACAGCGAGTATTTCCACAATTACTGTTTGCAGGACTTCTGAGCACTACTATAGCGTAACAACAACACAACACCAAAGCCAGACGCCAACTGCCACATCAACAGGGACTTTTTTGGACGCAAGAGTGGTCAGAATGACTAGCAAGGTAATACTTCTTTATAAACAATGTAAAATTGTACTGTAAGCTAAATGCTTTGCAAGCTAGATAGAAATCTCACCAACATTCATGCATTTGGAAAACAGTCCCATGTTACATGGAGTGTCAGGGGGAGTTGGTAATTCAGTGGGTAACAGCTGAATAATTACCACGTAATTCAATTATCTCATAACAGCCTGAGAGCAGTGACGAGGTGACAATTTGGAGACAACTCAGGCCTGGGAAACTGCCAGTTCACTTCAGGTGGGCCTGGACTCCAGCTCACGCTCAAAACCCTCTCAAAACTTGCATACCTGTTCAGCTCTCAGCCACCGTGAAGGACGACATTCATTTAACAGGGTACAGTATTTTCCTTCTCAAAGTATTCATAAAAGATATGTTTTCAGGGGCCTCTTCCCCCTTGCTATACTCAGGTAATACTTTAGCAGGACAGCCCTGGCTCTCACCTTTGAATGAACTGAGCCTTTATCATTGCCATAAACTATTTTGGGTTGTCCTAAGAATCCTTTCCCAGAGGATATAATTTCAGAACTAAATCCAGAGACTAAGTGCTTTCTCTCTGGGGAGAAGAAACGTTATTCTGTAACACTGACCATTCTTCAGATATGTCAACATGCGGTGAAGCTAACAACACTTCAACGTGAGATTTTTGGAGGTGGTGTGGCTCCAAAGGCTCAGCATATTTTCACTTGGACCTTGCCTGTAATATTAACCCATTAAAACAGAAGTGCACCTCAGGAAGAGGACAGCAGGTATTTAAAAATCTCGCTGTGTTTCAAATACAGCTAAATTACTTGCAACAGTAATTTGGTAAAGTGCCACTTCACAAAGACAAAAGAAGATGAGTGTTACTTCTAAGACCAGGTTGTATTCTTGCACATCACGTGAAAGAGAGCAATGGCAACGTGGCTGAACAAATGTGAGAAAGCACTGAACTGCAACGGCTTTTTAAGTGGGGGTGGTGAGAAACGCACATACAAAAATCTAATAATTCTCCACCCTAGCATGGCTAGCGAATGACCTCACTGGTTTCCTACATATACTCCAACAGCCTTCCTGCCATCGCTCTGTCAAGCCAAGCAATGATGTCAACAGTCCACCTGTGAGAGTGATGTAGCCCTCTGGGTCAGGGTTACAGAGAGCTCAGATAAAAGCTGTGCCAGTGTTAATTAAATGCACCTCTTGTTTCACTGCTGATTTCCTCTGATAAGGCTCAGCTCATTTTTCCTGGAAAGACTTCCATGCTGTAAGGGAACAAGAGCCAACTATAATACAAAACAAATATTGCTTGGAGGATATGAAGACAACATAACATATTAAATATTTCGTTTTAAAAAAATGATTTCATATCAGTGTTGGAGTAAATACAAATCTCATTAACTTGCATGTGCTAATGACAAGGTTATACTACAAATGCTAGTTACTGCAGATAGTTCATCTTTCAGCAGCACTAATCTCTTTCATTTGGAATGTTCTTTCGATTGAGGTTATAGGCACAATGGAAACTGAAGTCTAATAACTTGCTTTCTGCACTAAAGGAATTAACAAATACCACTGATAAGTTCTATCTGATTAAAGTGAGAGGACCTCATCCAGTAAAAATATGCTTTGAGACTAGAGTTTGAAATTCAATTAATATTGGAATTACCACCTCAACTTTAATGAACGTGTTGTCCCATAGCACATTTTCCGGCATCAGAAAGCTCTTAGCTGCAAGAAAGTTCTAAGCAGCTTAGGCATTAAGGATCCTTGTCCATTAATATAACTGTCTAGCACATAACGGGAAGAAAAAAAAAAATATATATTGCCATTTTTTTCCCCCTTTATAAGGAAACTAATCTACTGTCATAACTGGATGCTTTTCACCATATGCTGTATGGGATTTCTGTAATCCCTCTACTCATAGCATTTGCCTTCTAGCCACTGAAGCCTTCAGCACATACCCTTTTATACTTGCTTTATTGTCACAGACATTTTCAGGTAGCTTTATTACTAAGAGAACTGTCATGGGCAGGCCCATGGTTTTTGAACCTGACACTAAAAATCTTTTTTCTTGCGTGGCTTAAAAAATACCATTAGCCCTAGGACTTAATTGCTGACAGTAAAGCACAAAAAAATCTAGAGGTGACAAAATAGAAAAGTGCTCTCAAAAGCGATGGCACAATTCTACCAGAAGAGTTTGTTTCCTAATGACCTCAACTATCAATTCTGAAATAGTCAACAAAGTAGAGCTCTTGCTACAAATTTAATTCTAGAAAAAGAATAGTATAATAATAATGTTAGAAATACATTCATTTTCATTCATTCAGTTTGCTCTCTAGCAACTTTCATAGTCCCAAGAAGTGGTATTTTTTTCTTTTTCTTTTTTTACACTGTCCTGAACTGTAGCAAAAACTTGAGTTATGTGGAAGATTGTATTACTCTTTGGATAATGCATTTCTAACTAAATACACAAATGCCAACATATTTGAAAGGAGATTCTCTATGTTATGGGAATATATAAGAAACAAACAGAAAAAGAGGTGTATTTTGAAGTACACGAAATTACTAAATTAGAAGAAAAATCATGCGAACAAACGAGCTTTTTCCAAGACGGAAGTCAGAAAGCCAAAAGGGAGGATCACTGGACACTGTTATCTGTTGTAACCACAGCTAAACTTACTTATCAAGTCAGCTCTTCCAGTCCCACATTCCTGAGCATTAGAAATATTTTCCAAACAATCAATGCCCAATGTCTGTCTATTTAGACTTTCAGCTCTTTGGGATCTTACGTTTATACAGGCCCTTGCCCGACAAACTCTGTTAGAATACATAACACGAGAAGTACATACATTGTGCACCCAGTTCCTGACATGGGAAAAGGTCCATGGCTATACTACCTCTCTCACTAAAGAGACAGCAACTAACTTGCACATATGTTTTAAACATCTCCTCAGCACGAAACTCTCAACATAAAAAGTCCTTCTTAAGAACCATATTTTTGGTTTCAGGTGACAAACCAAAGATGAGAGTTACTCCTTCACTAGCTTGGTCAATACTGCTCATTTGGACAGTTCCTGTGGATTTATGAGGTTGAATTGCAGCTAGCTTGTGTTGAAGCACGCAGAATGTGACTCATTTAGAAAGCTCGACCCAAGAACATTTAACTCCAGCATCCTACAGAAAAGCCCCTTTTTGCTTTGAAGTAGTCACCGCCTATACTTCACATTTACCCCTTCTCACATCTTTCTGAGCATAATTTCCACAGCAAACTTGAATCCAGGTCATAAAGGAGATACTAGAACTTCTGATGAATTTTTTTTTCCTCTGCCACCAGTAATCGGAGTTTGGTCTTACACAATTTAAACACTACATATCACTTGGTACCTGTACGAAGTTGGACTTAACTGACTGCCCCTTGCAGCTGCTGTGCTGCACTTCTGCTGGATGCACATAGTGTGGCCACATAGAAGGAAAGCATATCCCCAAGTTCAGTGAGTTAAAGCGACACAGTTTCCTGAACTCCAGGAACGCTCTTGGTCAGAAAGTACTTCCTTCCTTGTTTCAAACACTTGATTGTTTCAGAGGGAATTCAAAACAATAGATTAGAAACTTTCAGCCTTTCCCAAGTGTACTGCTACTCAAGGAAACCAGGCTGCACTCTGGGAAGATGAGATAACACAGGGAGAGTACTCTTTTCCGGAAATGCAATAGCGTTTGCATCCCTTCACTAGCACCATCCCATGAATCAGCTACATGTTAGTAATAATTCATGCTATGAGATGTCAAATATAGTTCAACTATTGTTTGAAATAAGACGTGCGTGGCTGACAAAATCTATACGCTAAAGGCGGCTCCTTCTCAGCTACTTTGATAAGGCATGTCAAGGAGGAAATATCAGGAACTTCCTAATCTGATTCTCTACTTTTAAGGAACAGGTAGGAAGAAAGGACAACATTTGCCACTTTTAGTACCTCAAACTTTAAATCTCTAAAAAGTAGAATGAACATGCTGCTACTTCTGCTATTAGAAACCTATCCCCTTCCAAACTAGGACTTAGTTTTACAAAACAGGCAGAGATATTCACTAAGACAGGGAACGGATCAGGCTCATCAGATCCCTCTGAAAAGCAATCATTTTTATCATATCTTTTTTCCCAACACAATTGCATTCATCTAAATACAATATAGAATACTTTATACTGATGGATGAAAGATTTAGCATTTAGAAGATAATAATGAAACTATATATTTTTATGAGCTACAATTGAGTAATGAAAGGAAACAGATATGAAAATAGCATTTTCCGCAGGATTAGGTTGCCTAAATATCTTGAGCTAAATAAGACACATTAGAAACAGTAACAATGGCCAAGAGTCACTCACTCAGACCTGATAGTCAAAGCTCCTACATACGATATTAAATTTGCCTAATCCTCTTTTCCTATTAGCATAGAGCTACAAGATGTGAGAGGAAATGATTATGAAAAATGAGAATTTACCTGGTTCTATACCTTATTTTGAGTGGCAGAGGGGAAATGTACTTCCCTATCAATCTGTGTCAAAGGGAGGGAAGCGACCGAATTGAATACTCTACACTCACCGTTCCTACCAAAGGGTAGATGAATCCAGCTCCAATGCTGGCCCGCACATCGCTAATCGGCAAAATGAAACCAGTGGGAACACCCTTCCTCTCAGGCTGATGAGAAAGGGATAGGTGAGTTTTTGCCATACAAATGGGAAGATTTCCAAATCCCTAATAAAAGAGGGGAAAAAAAGAAAAATATTTTTAAGGTTACAAGATAACAATAAAGACAGGATACATTTTCACTTTGTTATCAGTATCTTCTGTAAATCATAAAAATGATATAGCACTAATGAGCTTCAGTTTCTTAACAGCTAATCTTTAAGAAACAGAGAGCATACAGTATTTTACATGCTATTCTCGCTCTCTCTCATCTCAAGTCGAGACCTCCAAAGGCACTTGGTTGTAGCGATACGCAGCTTCTAGAGTGAATTTTCAATCTAGAGTTAGGTGCAAAAGTTGTCTGCAATGGCTAGAGAGTGTTATTTTCAGAAAGGTGCATGACAGACACAACACTGAAAGAGAAACGTATATCAGTCAATAAAACACCAGTGTGCCACTTCTCTCTGAGCTCTAACAACCAAGTTAGATACCTACGTGAGACCATCAGTAAACACAAAGCGCTCGATGTTTTGTTTTGTTCTTAAACAAGACAGAAACGTGTGTGAAGTGATGGCACCCACTTTACTTATGACAGTGCAGTAGTTACTTAGAAAGTGGGAGAAACTCAGGGAAAGGCCCTCATCAGCTCCACTATTCCCCCAGGTGCTGTTTGCCTCTCAGGTTATCGATTAACCTTGAGCATAGGCACCTTCCACTCTTCTCTTCGATTCCTGGGCAAACAAGGATGCAATTCACCAGGCCAGGAGAAGAGAGCCGGTACCGGAGGGAACTGCCTCTGCAGCCTCATGCTGAGGGCAACCCTTTTACAACATTTTGAAAATATTTCCAAATACCACTAAAAATTAAACTAGAAAATGGACTACGGCATCAAAGTGGAGTTGGAAAAGATAAAGAAATGGATTATTCTGCTTCAAGTACACTAAATGAGCTTCTTTTCCATCTAGAAACCCAATGTCTTTCTCGGAACATTTGCATTTTAGAGAAGATGGCTATACTTCTGCCTGACCAAGTTGATAAAGTGTACTTGGAAGTTTTTCCATGACCCATCACCCATATTTTCTATTTTCTATTTCCTGACAGAAAGCCTCCAGCCATGTTTACTAGCAGAAACTGTTCCATTTACAGTAAATATGTTCACCTCTCCAAATGGTTTCAAAACTGTAACATATCCCCCTCCCACATACTTTAACAGTGATCTATTTCATCTTCTAGCATTTATAACCCCTTGCAAATGACATGAACAGAAGGGAAGTAAAATATTTTAAAAGTATCAGGAGCTTTGTTATTAAAATATACAGTTGTGCACAAGACGTTTTGTGCTTGCAAACATGCACGCATTTTTGGCAGGTACAAAGGAACACATGCTAAAATTGGGCACGTTCATTAGCAGCTATCTATGCAGATGTGCAGACACACATTTAAAGCAGTAGATGGTACTCTTCTGCATGCCTGTCATCTCTCTTTTCTTTAGACATCTAAGAGAGACATCTACCTTCTGGACATCTTTGGACATCTAAGAATTGTTGCATAATTAAAAAGACAAGAGGAGCAACTCCCAGCAACTTCAGCTGCGATTTAAGGCACACCAATGCCCATAAGGCTTGAAGGAAAAAAAATTGCTCCCTATGAAAATTAAAAGATTATTTCGTAGTTATCCACAACAAAAGAGCATTAGCACAACTGACATTTGTTTAGGGAATAACGAAAAAAGCATTTTGCTCCAGGAGTTGCAGGAAAACCACAATCTAAACACACCCAAAGATACATGCTCTTTTACAGAAGGTAACTTACAAGGTTAAAACCATTCTGTCCTATCTAATCTAAAATAAACTACAGTGACCCTCACAGCTTGGCACCATGGGTAGGCTCATGCCTTTTAGCAAAGCTAGTCTAAACACTCCCCTCCAAACTTAGAGCCTTTTACAACCTAGGGTCTCCTAAGACTCACACCCAGAGGACATCTGGCTGCGTAATTCACTGGTGTTCTTACCTGCCGGGTGTAACGATCCACTTGTGACTGCGCAGCAGGAGACAACTCTATATCCTGAGCTCCATACACCTTCTGAGCAATGATCCTTATTTTTTCAACAATAGGAAGCTGCAGTTACGTGGAAACAATACAAATAGGAACATTGGCATAGAGCAACTAAAATGTTTTTGCTGAATGAGAAATTGGAATCTCTCATTCAGACTCATCCTAGTTATAAAGGCTTGCTTAAGCATGAAACCAAGTAAAAGGCACTGGTGATGGAAATGATATTCAGCAACAAGGACATGAATTAGAACATGATTTCAACTACTCTTTCGTTCAGGAGGTACACAGTTTGTGCATCATGTAGAGTTGACAGCACTAGCTTACATTCTCACCTGAAGAGGAGGAAGAAAATTATTGCTATACAGTTTTAAGAATCAAGAGTTAACTTACAACGCAGATAAAAGGAAGCACAAATTCCAGTGGTAACAGAGATCATCAGACAAATAAGATTTCATATCACAATAATCTATATTATGATACTATTTTATCACAAAACGGTATTTATATTGTAAAGCACTTTGGACACTTTTTCTTTGCCTTTTTTTTCTTTTTTTCTTTCTTTCTTTCTTTTTTTTTTTTTTAAAAGAATCTAAAAGCATTCTAGGATAGACTTCAAAATCACAAGTCACTAATTCCAGCCCCATCATCTCAAACTGACTCTTCACTTTAAAACACTATGTGTCTGCCCCTGCGGCTTCTATTTGAAGGCAGTTCCAGACTCTCCCCATTCAGAGTGTTAGAAATATTTCTACATTTGTTTAGCACACATTTATTCATGGTCAGATCAGATATTTACTTTTTGTGCCATCATGTCTTTAGGGTAAACAGTATTTTTCTCTCTTCCTCCCTCCTTATGTTTTGCACGACCTTTGAGACAGCAGTTATGACCCATATTGCCTATTCTAAACACACCAGTCCGTTTCCTTATGAACAGGACAACAGGGAACCAATCATGCCTCTGCACTACTAGTTCAGCTATTTCAGTGCTGACCACAGATGGTTCAAGATGTGCACAGTACTCCAGGGAAAGTCTCATCAGTAATTTGCACTGCAGAGTATTTAAATAACAACATAAGCAGAAGGAGGTTTGAAAAAAACCTAAAGAAATATCACTCGAGGAAAAGGACTTGGTAATTTCTAGCAAGTAATACTCAAAACCCACCAGAACACAAAATAGAAAAAAAAAATTCTTTTTATTCCCACAAGGGCAAGAAATTGATTTGTGAATAAGAAACTCGGAGTCTATGAGTACTGCTGAATTTACAGAAAGTTCCATAGCCAGTCACATTTTTGCAATGCTCTTCCTAGAAAAAAATGCTTTTTCATCAGATATATCAGATGAACATAAGAGTTTGTTTCAGGCTGACATTTTTTTGTATTTATGATTATATTGGAGAAAAATTAAAGTTTATAGTAGTCTGCCTGTATATGAACAAAGAACTCCAGTAACAAGAGATACTGCAAGGAAGGGAAGGGTTGCTTCCTACACTTTCAATTAGCTAAAATATAGGACAATTAAAAGCTGCTAAGACTCAAATAAAATCCCTCCCTCACATAAGAAAATCCAAAGTGATGTCTAAAAACATGCTACAAGACATGTTTCGAAACAAGCTGACAATACTATTCCTGCAGCTTAATTGGATGGAATGATGTCACCTCCTTGACTTCAGACTTTATAACAGAGGCAAAGCAATAAAACCTAATGAGGATTGGAGATAATACTTCACAGACATCTTGGACATAACTCTGGGCAGTGCTCAGCTGAAGGGAACAGTTTAGTGGCATGGATAACCATCATGAGGTGGTTCCATCATGAGATGAAACTTCCTCTACGTTCATTATTATGGTATCTTCATGTCCACCACAATTAAGAACACAGTATAAGAAATGCAAAACATGTCTGTCACCTTGCCTTTTGGGTGCTGTTTGCATCCAGTTAAGGACCAACAGCAACAGCGAACGGAAAAGTTCCACTCCCTGTTGTCTGTAAGCCAACATCAAAACCAACAGCTTTCTGCTTGAATCTCAGTAAATGCATTGAGATGGAGATGTTCATTCAGATTCAACTTGCATTTGCCTCAAAATATTTCAAACTAATTTGACAGCAACATGGTCACTGCAACCCCACCCTCCTCCAGCAAAAATAGCTCTGTTTTCCAAATAAAACCCAGCAGGGTTCTGGCTAGCATCAGAACAGACTCCTTTAATGAAAGCAGTGGCATTCTGTTTCTCCCAGGATATGCTAAATAACTTGCATGACTGAGTGTGAGCTGGACAGTGGAACTTTTTTTTTTTTTTTTAAATCAGAATTTCAGACACTTACCAGGCCACCAACCACACTTCAAATTTTGTGAATTTAACTTCAGAAGAATCACCCCCGGAGAAGCAGATACAAGAGTGCAAACAGCTAACAAAAATGTTTTTGCGAGGCAGTTAAATGCCTCTGCGAGACCTGCATGTCCAAACAGGTGACGTAGGTTGCATCATGCTATAGAAGAGTTTGGGCCTATTTAAGCTCAAGTACAACAAGTGGTAAGCCCTGGGTAAGCACGATTCAGGTAGAAACCAGCCAGGAGGCACAGATGCTCACATTAACACAGCCCATTTATGTGCACATTCCCAGATACACTTCTTTCCTCAAGTTTCAGGAGCAAGGAAAGCAACACACTACACTGTGTTCAGGATCCACCTGTCTCCCAGTATTTAGTGGGGTTGTTAAGGGATTATCTATTTAGAATTCACAGCATAACACCATTTCAAGCCAAAAAGCTTCCTGTGTTCCAGGTATCAAGTAACACTGCTGGGCAATTTTGTTTTAACTTAGCTTAAATATTTTCCAAAGTAAAGCCACCTGGTACTTCACATGAGAAACACAAATTCAGTTCAGTTAAAAACAACTTAATGGTATTTATCAGAAACAAAGAGCTAGTAATTCAAGAGAATTTTTACACACTTGCCACAGCAGAAACTTGCATGTTGACAAGACCCTTGTAGGAACAATTCTAAGTTGTTTTCCTCTGGTCTTTAAGGGTAAGTTAACTTTACGTTTTCAAGAATGCTGTTGATTACTCAGCACTTCATTATAGAAATCATCTCGGTGATAGAAATAGATTCACCATACGTATTAATGCCTCGTGACACTAACTCATACGGAACACTGTTTAGCTTAATTCAAACAGTAGGAAAAAAAAAAAAGAGAGGAAAACAAGGGTCAAATTATCCAAAGTACCTAAAAAACTAAGGGACCTGAGTTGGATTTTTGCTCCAGTTCATTTCAAACATAGACACTTCTAGAAATCTTGTGAATCACCTCTTTGTACCTGGAACACCTTGATCAAACATCAGCCATCAGGAGCCACATATCCCAGGCACTCAGAAGAACTGTTTGTCTGTCTTATGATTTCTGTCTGAAGGTGTAGCCCCCTCTGTATTTTCTACAAAGGCCTACGATATCCCTGAACCAGTTGTTCATTCCCACTGCCCAACTGTAATTCACCACCCTCAGCTGTGCTGATGCAACTGTTTGCAGGCGCTCACTACAACACTCTTCATGAAACTAGTCCTGATCGGATAACGCGTGTAGCGCTGCACCTTCACAAACACTGAGTTTCACAGCACCTTCGCTGTTTGGACAGTTACTGTGATAATGACACAAATATGCAATTATGTATTAGTACTAATGGTGAAGGAATTACGGCAAATTCACAGAACTCATTTCATATTCAGTTTTAGCTTCTTAAGCAAATGGTGCCATGAAATACTTGATGTAAATTTATACCGAATGTGACAGAGTGCTACAGGGTCACATTCTATGAATATCTGCTGATGCCTAAGGAGCTTTGGTGTTGCTCTGAGAAACAACAGATCTCCACCGCTCTGCCAGAGGCCATGCACAGTCCTGAAATCTCACACATTTGGAGCCACCATGTTACTTCTAAGGCAAGCACAAATACACATACTTTTTGAGGCTACCAAGCACCCACACCTTAAAAAGGATTATCTCCTCAGCTGAAGTATAACAAGTGCTACAGCAAAGGTACACAGACTGCTTTCAAAAAAACAGTACCTGTGCAGTGCTACATTTCATTATTTGATAGAGAATAATTAAACCAAGGAATCGGCACTGATAAAGAGGACAGTCTGTCATTCTCAAGACTAAATTGATTAACGAAGACGAAATCACACCAGTGTCGCCAGTCAGTCTCGTCACACTGCTCCCTCCGGGCCCAAGCCATAGTCTTAGTGCAACCTGGTGCTGTTTAGTACACAGTATTCTTTCTTCTAATACTACCAACAACATACTTTATAGCAGAAGGTAATTTAATATGGCTGTCATTCACAGAATGGTTGAGGTTGGAAAGGACCTCTGGAGATCATCTAGTCCAACCCTCCTGCTCAAGCAGGGTCACCTAGAGCACATTGCACAGGGTTGCGTCCAGGTGGGCTTTGAATATCTCCAGGGAAGGAGACTCCACTGCCTCTCTGGGCAACCTGCCCCAGGGCTCAAGCACCCTCCCAGGAAAGAAGTTTTTCCTCAGGTTCAGACGGAACTTCCTGTGTTTCAGTTTGTGCCCGTTGCCTCTCGTCCTGTCGCTGGGCACCACGGAGAAGAGTCTGGCCCCATCCTCTCAACACCCTCCTTTCACATACTTGTACACATTGATGAGATTCCCCCCTCAGTCTTCTCTTCTCCAGGCTCAACAGGCCCAACTCTCTCAGCCTTTTTTCATAGGAGAGATGCTCCAGTCCCCTAATCATCTTTGTAGCCCTCCACTGGATATGTTAGCCTTTCTCACTTTTTTATTCATCTCTTCCTTTAGCTGTAACAGCGTACTGCAGATTATCATTTTTTCCCAGTGCAGTTTGATGAGCATTTCCTAGAGCAGCAGACCAAATTCCTTCTCCTCCTCACTTCCTCTGCTGCTCACAATCACTCTTGCACCAGTGCAACTGAGAGGGCAGCATCACTCTTTGTCCAGCCCTACATACCAGCGAAAGCGATCCAGGCTACAACATAACCCAGGAAAAAAATGGCTATTTTAAGCCAGATCAGTTCACAGATT